CAATGTATCATCCTTATCGCTCTTACTTTTTTGTTTGTTACTTTCTTGTAACACCTCCAGCCTTCAGCCCTTAAACATCACCTTCATGTAATTGTGTTGCGAGTGCCACAAAACTGCTACTTTTAAAAGAAAGATAAAAGAAAGACTTTTTTGTTTTAGTGTAGGTTTTACAGCGCTCGCAACTGCATAAGGTTGTATGAGCGCCAGAAGATTAGAGGTGTTACAAGAGAGTAACAAACATAAAAAAGAAAGAAGGGAGATAACGACGATAGATGTTCGATAGGAAAGAAGAAGCAAACCACACCAGAGCACCCGCCAACCACCCACGAAGAAAGACTGAAAGTAAAAAAAAAAAGAAAAAAAAGAAAAGGAGAAGAGACTAATCAAATCATACAAGAACATTGGAAAATCAAACACATAATATTAGCAGGCAACAATAAAAGTTGTGAAAAACATATCACCGAGACAAGATGACCATTTAATTGCTCAAAGTAATGAAATGACAATAATGAACACAGAAATGTACAAAACCGATCACTCGTACCATGAAGGAGAGTGGTTTACTGAACGTATCCTTACAAACGTTACACTAGGGGAAAATGTACAGTTACACGGAATATGGGAGATTATACGCACAACGCCCATCACATTAAGGCAAAGACTGAACAATACTACTCCCTCCAACAGGAACCCAAAAGAAATCGTCATGTTGAAATTGGTCACTAAACTTCTGACACCAGTGTTTAGCATTTGAAAACAGTGCAAATCAGCTATATTTATCCCATATAGACAGACATGTTCAAATGATTCAGTCTGCCGTACGCACATTCCTATTGTCAAGTTCATCGGAAATTTATTCTACTACAACATGACCGAGAATCAGGGGCATTTTATTTTATCACTTACAACGTGACAACATATTATAATTTACATAAACAGAATGCTATACCAGTGGACATCATAAAAACAATATCACATCATTCCATAGATCTACACAGACTTACACCACATGTTCTTCGGTGACGGCAAAATGCATCATGGTTTGTTGTTCAAGGATGAAACCAGACATAGAAAAGATAAGAGAAGAAAAAAAATGTGTCTGGTCCAAAGGGCAGAGAGAAATTATTATGTTATTACTACAGTATAAGACGGATAGCTGAATTCGTCTGGATCAGCCATGGTAGTTTGAGGGATCCGTAGTTCGAGGGATATCTTACATAGATAAAGAAGAAAAAACAGGACCGCAGGCACAGTTCAACGGAGGTGTGATTTCGAGTCTTCAGTGTTCGACCTATCTGTGTTATACTGTACTTTGAAAAAAAACCCAATAACAACAAAATATATTTCAGTGCAGTGCCATCCCCACACATCATTCTGTAGGACACACTCATCTGCTGCCTGAAGACTCCCACCACCACCCTGCCATTTCTTCAGCATTGCGAGGCGATCAGGTGAAGAAAATGAAGGACGTGTAGGTGTGCGCAAACACAACACCACAAGTCACGGGAGCCATGCAAAGTGGAGGTACATTCAATAATTCTCCACCTTCATTGCTGCATGCAAATATTACAGATAAATCTTGGTCCCTAAGGTTGGACAAAAACATATTAATAGTAGTACTAGTACTAGTCTGGAGAAATGCACGAAGAATTATTCATAACTGTAGAAATTGTAACACAAACACTTTTAACTCTTACAATCAAACTTCAACACCTTTCACAATGCAATTGATTTTCCAATTTTTACATTTTGAACATGACCCTGTCAAAAAACACGAACAGCCAACCCACAGATAAATTTCTATACATATGTAAAATATACATCAAGTCCAGCATTCTCTTGATAAAAATCCTCAAGATCAAAAATGTACTTAAATTATTTATGGAGCAGCAAAAAACGAAATCCACGACCAAATAAACATCAACCTGAAAAACAAAAATCTTTCATTCGTGATGTTCTAAGTTCAGCCACCAGACCCTCAACATACATCCAAGAAATACACACACACAGTTTGAAATTGTCATTTCAGGAAGTCTCCATCACAACATCATATAGGCACCAGGGGGGGAGAAAACAACTGACAGCTGTACATATAAATTATATTGCATTACGCCAAAAATGTTTTCAAAGAGAAGAAAATAAGAAAAGTACAACACACCATAGTGACTTCACATGAATGTGTGAGAATGCAAAGAGTTGATGACCCACCTATTCAAAAAACAAAAATTTGCAGAGATAAGAATCTTGCCTAGTAACTTTAATTCTATCATCAAGAACATAATATGCCAATTCTGATAAGGTGTCTGCCCTACATCAAACTGAAGACTAAGGCAACAATACTAAAAATTTGGTGAGATAGAAAACAATATTCAAATATTTCACCACTCATGCAATGCCACACGGTACAAACTATATCAATATGTTCTACAGTTCATCGAAGACCTATAAGATAAGTTCTTGAGGTCACATAAAAAGATAGCAACAACATGTGAACACAAGTTTTACATGTAATCTTCTGCATCTGTACCTTGCTCCTACTAAAATTCAGAAACTTACACTTGGAGACAACAGAAACACCTGCTGAACATTCAAACTGACAATGAGAAAAACAAAAAAACTGCACTCTCAAGACAAAGGCATCATTTTTTTAAAAACACTTTTTTTTAAAAACAGGAATGGTAAGTATAACCTGAATTAAGCATGAAACAGGTTAAGTGAGAAGTCTCAGGTACACTGGTCTTGTGATTAGGCATTTTTGAGGTCAGACGTATACCGGGCACTTAATGCTGATCTGGAAGTACAACAGTATACCCATCCATAAAATACTGAATCAGTTGACGAAAACTTGCCCGTGGGGCTTTGGCAGATTGTTGCATTCATGAAAACATGAAAAGGTAAGTCTCTTGCCAGTTGAATGCCTGATGTATCTCAGTGCAAACTCGGCTTCACTCTTTACGAATTGAGACCCAGAAGGAAAGTGGCGATGGAAAGTTCTGGTCTGGTCTGTGCTGCCGACAAAGGTTATCTTGAGCACCGGTACTGATGGTGATATGACATACTGAAGTGCTGCCATTTTGAAGCTATTCTTCTTCACGGAGCCACAGTTTGATATTGGAGAACTGCAACAATCCACACTGGCACTGCATGTAGGTTGACATCAAACGAGGTAGTGTGGTTACAAAGGGAAACCATCAACTAATTGTTCTTATAGGTCTTTCATCACTCTCGTTTCACAATCACCCCAAGTCATCAAAATTTGAAGAGCTTACCGCAATCTTTAAATCACAAATTTACTATAATGTGAACAAATAAGTGCACAGCGTTCAAGTGATTTACGATTATGAAAGAAAACAATTGTCAGAATCCAACAAAATACACACCGCTTTTCCCTGATGTTCTCAAAACATTGAAAAGAGACTGGGGAGAACCAAGAACGAGCAAGTTACACTTCATTCATTGTCCGCAGCTCTTAGAAATGTTTCTAGTATTCGTAATGAACAAAACTGGCTAAAAAGTAAAAACACAAAAAAAACTTTCAACGCTTCCATTCTTTCATTCACAGAGCATTTCCAGGACAAAGTTGGACCCACATTCTCTCAACTAAAGATGCTTCAGTTTAGCAAGAGATTTTGACACTGAAGTTGTGCCGAAGACGACGAATAAATTTACACATGTACACAGTACAAAGGACTAGTCTGGTTATACAAGACAATGGCCTGATGTTCCAACTCCACTAAACACAACAACCACTGCTACGTCGTATTTGAATCTGTACACAAACAATCAGTAATCTATCACCATCATTATCATTGGCAACAAAAGATAATAAACATAATATAATGTGCATTGCATTGTCTACGCAGCATTCCTTGCTACAAATGAAGATTAAATGCAGCAATCAGACACGCTTACCATCACTGATGAGAGCAAAAAAAGAAAGACATACTCAGACACACTAATATCCAACATTGGAGTATGCCCTCAAGACCGTGGCCATTATATTTTCATCTTAAAGTCCTTGTGGTGGTGGTGGTGAGGGAATACTAAAAAATTAGGACTAACAGTCCTGTATCCTTCAATAACCAGTGAAAGACCCCTAGCAGTAACAACTGTTCTGTCATGCAGGTTACTGCAGAAACAAATGCATTTTTCTGACACTGTGCTATTCTTGGACCAGCTGAGAGCTACTCTTCGGACACAACTACCACAAAACTTGTGCTTTGTGCAGTCGTGTGCCAGACAACTGAGAGAAATAAAGGCATCTTATCATGCCTATTGCTTCAAATTGAGAGAATTTCACTTTCCAATTGAAGCATGTAAGCCTAAAACCATGGTCTTTAGCAATCCAATCAAACTTACAAAAAACAAATGCTACGACGTGGTCAGTAATAAAGTCATTCAAACACTGGACAAATTACGAAGAAAGTAAAGGAACATCACATCATAACTTCAATTAATTCCTGCACAATGTAAAGGAAAATTTTGTTCAAAGAGCTAAATGAGCCAAAATGAGATGCTCTCAGTTATGATACCGCAGTATGCAAGGGCTGGTCCCTGACCATTGGCCAAGAGGAGCACACCAGCGAGGGGAGGAAGGAGCGATCCTTGCAACAGCAATTTTTTTTTTTCAGGATCCGCACTCCATCGGGAATGAGGGTGGGGAGTAGAGGGGAGATGTTTGACTGCCATTGTGAAGAAAATCCTAGACGTTGCCATAGGTAGGGCTGGGGCAATCATCAAGACTTTTTGGCCTGTGAGGAAATCTGGTGTCGAACATGCTCAAGCATGGCAAACGTGTTCTGCACGATCTCTGGCCGAATCAGGCCAAAGTCATTCAGGTTGACCAAGTGAAGGAGGAAGTTGCGGCATAGATTTTTCTGTACAACTTGCGCCCCTTGTTCCTCAACAAATGTGTGGCATGCTCTCGGTACCATACAATCCCCAATGTATCTGTTGGGAGGAAGGTAATCGGAAAGTGTGTGAGAATAAAGACCACTAACTGCACTCTTTCTGCCAAATTTATTTCATTTCTTAGGCCTAAAGACATACAAACTGAAATAGAAGAAGTACAAAATATACATGACACGTTTACAGATCAACTGGGGTTGTATATGCAGCAGCTGGTTTCAGAAGGCACAGGGAATACTGCAGTCATTTTTACAAAATATAGTACATGCAGTTTTAGCAATTTTACAGGAGAGCCAAAAAACTTAATAGTAACCAAAAAAAAAACCCCCAACCTCTTTGCAAACATCCAAAGTCAATATTTATATGAATAAAATGTAAAAAATAATTGCCTCATCATCTTACATGTTATTTTACTGAAGATAGCTTTCAGGTTTTTTTTTGGCTCTCCTTTAAAATTGTAAAAACAGCATACCCTGTAATTTTTTTAATGACCACAGAATAGGGGGAGAACAGATAGGAAGAAGAAGGAATGGAGAGGGAGGACAGATAGGAGAGCAGGAAATACACGGAAAACAAGCAATGGAGGAAGGAAAGGCAGGGCACGATGCCACTTTTCGCCCGATTCTGTTACCTTTAGTTAGCGTGACTCAGCAGCCCGCCGGAGCTCTCCGGTTTGGAGTCACGGGGTTAATGAGCCCTGATCGACTTTTGCCTGTGTCGGTTAGAAAGTTCACATTTTTGTCTACGTTTGAAACGATATAACTTCTTCCCCATTCAACACAGCAAACCATTATACGCGCATAGTAAGGTTAATTTCTGTGCCTTAGTCTTTGTTCTAGATAAGTGTTTGTAGAGTACCCAATTTGTCCTATTTTAGTTACATACTTATGAATAAATTATTGTTTATTTTAAAAAGGCACCACAGATCTCTCCCAAATCTGTGTTAAACTGACTACGAATACCATGTCTTTTACCATGAGAAATCTTAAATCTGCGCGAGTAGCAATAGTCAAGTTATAAGAGAAGAAAGATGCACATCTGCATTTTTTAACCAGAGCTTCCAGCAGCTGATGTCATTTTTTGGAGTCCAGGGCAGAGCTCTGGCAGGGGATTGAAGGGGGGGGGCGGCAGTGTCCCCATTGTGTTTGAGAATTTTTGGTTTCAGGGCATCCTAAGTATACCATTTCTGGCTATTCAAGCCTAAATTTAACAAGAAAATAAGTGAGAAAAAAAAAACATACCTTGCATAGGCCTACATAATTTTCTGCTTGTGTGTTAATCCATATATTTCCAAATACAAAACAAGGCTTTCTCCCTTGTACAGATCAGGGTTGGGTTGATTTAAATCAGTTGATTTTTTAAATTTAAATCAACTTGATTTTTAAAATTATTTTTATTCAGTTTTTACATTATTTCAACATTCAGAATTCCTTTCCTTGGTTTCATAAAACAGATAAGGTTTAGTAGACTAATATAATCATGCTTAAAAGTCTGCCCTTCCACTGTAAAATAATACAGTATTCAATTTACTTTTTTTTTCGATAATTGAAATGAGAGCTGGGTTGATTTAAATCAGGTCAAAGTTTATTGCAGAAGTAAGCTAAAAGACAAGATTGGCATACATGGAAAATGTATGAGAAACAGGGTTGGGTTGATTTAAATCAGTTGATTTTTTAAATAAAAATCAGTGATATAAATCACTTTTTTTTAAATGTATTCAGTTTTTACATGACATTTAAACATTCAGAATTCCTTTCCTTGGTTTTATAACAGATATATAAGGTTTAGTAGACTAATATAATCATGCTTAACTCACTTCAGACGGGTCACACAACAGTTGCGTGACCCCCGCCATGACGCTCGCGTCGGGTCTCACAAGCCCTGCGTGACCAACTTTGGAATTTTTTTTTCGCTCTACAAATCACGCACGGATCGCGAGACCCGCCTCGTACCCTTGTTTGGCCAAGCCTGAGCTACTTAGACTTCGTTTCGTATCTCTGGGGCCGGTAGTTTTTAAGTTATTGAAGGTGAAGGACAGTGACCCCAACTGGGGTTGAACAGACCGGAACTCGCGCTTTGTTTTTTTCTATACAGCTCATAGTAATCCGACAGTCGCGTCGTAGTAACGGTCGAAGAAGTCGCATGAACAAGAATCACATAATTTCGCCGTTTTCTATACTTCTGTGCGTTTTATTAGTTCTAGTGTCTCAGAATATGATGTGTCTAATAGTTAAGATCCTGGATATGTACCCGAACACGGCCCGAGTCGTAGTTCTAGGGCTAGATCTAGCACTAGTACCGGTGTTGTTTTTCGCGCAACGAAATCACAACGTCGTGCCGTACATCTGTCTCATGTAATTCAGTGTATGGGTCTGAATCAATGCACAGACCAGCTTTTATATTTTCACCAAACACTCGCACATGTATACAAATCAAACCAGAACACTTTGAACTTTTATTTTTGTTGTTGCAGTGAATTTCATTCTACTTGTCACGTCTCTGGAAATTTTTCGAAAATCAAATTCATGCCAATTTTTAAAAAATCATACAAATTAAAGTATTAGACTTAGACAACTTTGGTTTTTTGTATTAGATTAAGCTTGAATGTTACTTTACTGTGTCAAAAAATGAATACAATAGGGTAATTCTGAGAGTTGTGGTGATTTATTGAAATACCCCCCAAAACGCCAGTCTTCAACGCTTGTGGCTGGTGAAAGGGCCCAGACGCAAGTGAGTTAAAAGTCTGCTTTCCGCCCTATTTATTGTAATAGAGTTCTCAATTTACTTTTTTTTTCATAATTGAAAACCAGGGTTGGGTTGATTTAAATCAGGTCGATTTAAATCAGTTGATTTTTTAAAAATTTAAATCAACTTGATTTTAAAAATAACACTCAGTGATTTAAATCACTTTAAAAAATGTATTCTGTTTTTACATCTTTAAACATTCAGAATTCCTTTCCTTGGTTTTATAAAACAGATATAAGGTTTAGTAGACTAAAATTATCATGCTTAAAAGTCTGCTTTCCCCCCTGTCACTGTAAGTAGTAAAAAAAAATACAGTATTCAATTTACTTTTTTTTCATAATTGAAATTAACATTTTCTTTTTCTTTTCAGACAAACACAAGCGCGCACACACACACACACACTAATAAAATGCAAGTTTATCTATGCATAATTACCCCCCCCCCCCCCCCCCCTCCCTTTTAAACTGACATTTTCTTCATTTTAAATTGTCTGTAGCCATAATTCACTTATATATATATAGCAGATTAAGGCTTTCTAAAATTGCAGTTGCTTAAATTAATAATTAGTTAAAATAAAGATACTTTTAGCCACCAAAAATCCCAAACTGTGTTGACATTTAAAAAAAAAAATTTTAATCTTGATTTAAATTTTAAAAATCGATTTTTAAAATTTTCATTTAAAAAATCACCAACCCTGGTACAGATACTGTACATCCACAACTAGATCTAGATCTATAAAACTTGACAGAAAATGTTCAACTTTTTTCTGCTTGTGTTGGTTTGCATCATAATCATCATAAGGTGTAGAATCCTTAACCTATAATAAGTTGTTTTTTTTATATATAACAGCTTGACTTGATCTAGATCTAGATCTAAATCTAGTCTAGATTCTAGATCTAGATCTGAATAATTTGACAGCTTATATTCAACTTAAATCCACAACAATACTTACAAATAAACAAGTCTGGTGTAAAAAAATCAAGCTCTCTTTAGAGTTTTCTTTTCTTGGAAGGCCCAAGATCTATTGAACCACAATCGTCATTTCTTCCTCTTGTTCACAGAGCTGGTGCTCTGCTTCTTGAGCTTTAGAAAGTGAAAGTAGAAGACACTGTCTACACTTTCAAATAAAAGCACTTCAGGTATGGGTTGGCTATTGTTGACTATTGGTAATAAAGGAAATTTTTTATTTCGCATTTTTTAAAAATATTTTTTTGGCACAAATTTTCACGGAAATTTTTCCATTTGCAGAATTCGGCTAATTTGCGAAAATCCGCAAAATTGCAGAAGACTGGAAGCCCTGTTTAACTAAAGACACTCAGCGTTAGCTCTTGTTCTACCATTAAACAAGAGAAAGTTATTCTGCGTTTGTTCATGAATCATGCTGTGTCTGTGGCAGCCTGCAAACAACTAAGAAAGATATATTATGAGATTTTTTTTAAACTCAAAAGTGTGTTAATACATGGTATGGAATAAAAATAATGACAATTAACATTCATTCTTAGTTTTTGTGTCGGACATATGCGCGGACACTTATGAATGTAAAGAAATCAGAACATTGACAGTTATTGCAAATGGTATAGAAACGAAAATAAAAGCTGGAAAAGCCTGGTGCTGATTCAGTGTCACTGGAAAACTAGAAATTATTCTTATAATACAATCACGAGAAGTCATCCCTGTTATTCAGTCAACTTACAAAACCTAGATCTAGCGTTTTAAGAAAAATATGGAATAATTAAAGGAGTGTAACTGATAGCCTAATGTCCGTGTATTACATTGTTGTAGATGTATTCTGGCACTAAAATCGGTTTGCACTTTTTCATAGAGAGACATTAGGGTAATTAGGGTGTGCCAGATGGATAAAGTAGTAAAATTACAGCTTCCTATTATACGCGCACATACCATCTTTTATGAGCATCAGCACCAATGCTATGTCGTTCATGTTTCAAAAGTTAGACAGTTTTTGTCATGCTTTTTATTTTATATTGATTTTTTTCATTCACACTTGCACAAAAAATTTTACAATTTAGCATTGCCGACTTCAGCACGTCCAACAAAATAACCAGACAAGTTACAATGTCTGTTGTTTTGGTCTCAAGAGCAGAAATGCGTGCTCTGGGCCCATTAAATGATAATTACCATAAATACAAGGATACCCGTAAAACTGTACGTTGAAAAGTACCAAAAATTAAGTCAGCCCAGACAGAGCGGCTACAGGGAGCTGACCCCCGTGACCCCGACGTGATAAGGCGCTCAGCGGGGAGTCCACAGCGGCAACTAAATTTCCACTGCTGGTGCGCCGTGAAGGATGAGGGGATGAAGGAAGAACAGGCAGGGAGATCAATAAAAGAGGAAAGGTCAGGGTTGATGTTATGATTGACGGGAGAACAAGGAGAGGAGAGAAAGGACATGCAAAGAAAGGAGAACAGGGAATGATAGGGGGAGACAGGCAGGGATGACCTCCCTAAGTAAGAGAGTGGCTCATGCAGTGATATAAGGAAAGGATCACATAGACCTGCATGTGAGCCTCAACCAGATTGTCTGAAAATTTTGCGCCCCCCCCCCATAATAAGAGCTTAAATTTTGTGGGTGTCATAAGGAAGGACTTTTCCGAGTAACGAGCGACCACCCCAACAAACACAATAAAGAAGAGACCTAACCCTACCCCAAAAAAGAACCTGCAACGGGCCTCATGTAAAAAGGCCAGCACAAGTCCAAAATGAAAAAAACCCACTCCAAAACAAAGAGCATGCATAATATGGCCTAGATCTACATTGCTATTATATATTATAATAGGGTTTGATACAATAACACAATAGAATTGGAGTATGAATCCTCCATACCATATACAGATCTAGATCTAGTAATCTAAATAAATTTAGATCGATATCTTGTAGAACAAGTGAATAGGAATAGGCCTTGAACTAGAAATCCGCATCCGATTCCGAAAAGAGGGACTCAGCTGAGTATAGATTCTAAATAATTCACGCACCTGATGAAATGCTTTTTACCAACATTAATATTACAGCACAACCTATGACTACGATAGGGTTTGACACAATAGAATTGGAATATGAATCCTCCATTGAGGTCTATAATGATCTATATAAATCTAGATTCTATTAGAACAAGTCAAGTGAGTGAATGAATCCACACGATCTCAACGATTGAATTTGTCAACAAACGAAATTCAAAATGGCCGCTCGAGCACGAAACTGAAAGTAGATAATTTAGGTCGTCGTCTTTTTTCGTATTCCCATTTCTACTCGGGTTCCGACAATTATGTCGGAAACGCCGACGTCGGCACAAAAACGAAAAGTGCCGACAAAGCCGACGGGAGAAAAAGGGGGCGCTGGCAGTCGGCCAGGCCTTGCACTTCGCACATTGACTGATACAGGTGGGCCTAGCGATAGCATCGGCCGGGTCGCGATTGTCAGATTTCAGACGATTGTCTGCAAACATGCAGGTCTGATCACAAAACTGATTAAGACAGAAAGCTGGTTGCCATATCAACTTTTTCGAACCCCCCCCCCCCCAGATGTAACAAAAACTATCAACTCACTCTTTCTTCATGACGTGTAAATTCCACATTTTCATAAGTTCCTTTTCTCCTTCATTAACATCTGTGAACTCATCAATCATCTGAAATGTAAACAAGTTTATTAGACGAAGACATAAAAGCTACAGGAAAGGATAGAAAAGTATGACATGGAGCCAAACCATAATTACTGAAACTTAACAAAATCTTATTCACTTTAAAGAAAGACAACATTCTCAGAAGCTTGCAATAAATCTCAATGGCGGTGCAGATATGGTGAAACTAATTTTCTTGAGCAAAGATAACATGAAAAAGGAACATAAGTATTTAGGAAAACATGTTCATAAAGCCATGCAACACGCTTCAGCAAAACTATATCTTATTTTACCCACTGACTGTTGGGGATTACATTCCCAACTTAACCCTTGCTGCCAGGATTCCAAAGGTGTTTTTGAACATTTATTGCCAGATAACTTCAAAGTACACACCTATAATTTCTACTATTTCTCATTTTTATGTTGTGTTTTCTGGAGATTTTCAACAGGAACCATACTTTTGTTTGTATGACCATTTTAAATCTAAACAAAAACTTAAAATTACTATGAAAGGCATGAGGTGTTTTTTAACCCTTTTTAAACAGACTTCATTTTCACTACAATGTTTCCCAGGTTTCATTCCTGCCAAATTTAACAGTTTAGTCAGTAACAAAACAAACTTGCTTGAGTTATTCAGGTCTGCATTTGATTTTTCCACTAAATAAACACCAAAAAATACAAGTAAGCTCTGTGCATGTGATGAAGTCAGATACTACAAAATTCAAGTTCTAAACACAGATGTTCCAAGGATGGTATGCTCAATGGAAAATGGTTCAGAACTTTGGTAGACAGTAAATCTCTCTGGAGGCTTCTGAAGAACCACATCAGTTAGTTTTAGTAGAGGTTTTTGGCGCTCGCAACTGCTTAAGGTCATATGAGCGCCAGAAGATTAGGTGTTACAAGAGAGTAACAAATATAAAAAAGGAGGAGGGGAGATAAGAACGATAGATGTTTGACAGGAAAAAAGGAGCAGACCACACCAGAGCACCCGCCAACCACCCACCGAGAATCATATCATCCTCATCCCCCACGCACAAGCACAGGACCCCCCCCCCCCACCCTCCTTCCACACATAGTAGAGCTACAATATGACTCGTCAAGAGCTACTTGGCTCTTTCCCTGAGTCAGGCAAGTTCACAAGACACACGCGATGCTTGACCAACTGACCATGACTGTCTTCTCCTTCAGCCATCCTGGGTGACTCTCTTCTTGTCCTTCATTGTCCAGTTCCTGAGGCCGAACTGGCTGGCAGGTGACCGTGTGGAAGTACAACCTGTAACAAGAACAACAAAGCGTCAGGGTGGCAGTTGTCTCCTTTCAAAAGAAGTCAGCGTGGAGTAAAAGCTTCCAAGAGCATCCTTGAGCACATTATTTAGCTGTTACCTTTGAGCATGTGTAAAAACGTAAATCTTCCTGAATTACAAGAAAAGCGGTGGAAATTCTGAGCAAACAATGCTCGCTATGAAATATTAAGTAGATGACACATTACACAATTAATTCATACTGTCAAGCTTGACGCCACGCGTGGGTGTAATCGTACAGACAAGTGGCAACAACCAAAACAAAAACAATCCAACCAAAGCGAACGTTCACCATCACATAGCCTTAAAGAAAGAAAATAAAGTAGCACCTGCCTCAGCAGTCCCCTTTCAACAGCAACCAGAAGTCATAGTAAAGGCCAGTGTTCCGTGACACCTGTTATAGATACTTGGCCCCTTTCTTACATTAAAAACCTTTCTCGCAACCTGCTGATAAGGGGAGGTTAATTATGAGTTATTTTGCACGAGAAACGCCTGTCACGAGAAATGGTCAGTCACGAGAAAGAGAGGCTCGAGTGAGCATCGAGCCAACGTCAGTCACTAATAGTCATTCACGAGAGAGGGACAGAACCAACGTCAAGTCACAGTACGGAAAATCAACCTACTCTTGTTTCAAACAAAATAAAAGTAATTTTTCGTGTTGTTGAAAAGGTAGGAGTTCGTCTTTATATTACATTAAGATATCTATCTGAATAGTTGTACATTCAGTGTTCCGTAACAACACCCTTGTGTTTTTTCCAAAACATTTTACCAGTCCAAACCCGCTCAAAGCAGTCACTTGCTACTTCAGCTTTCCGCCAACTTGCCCTCAGATTGAATAATGCTCCATCAATTAAAGAAGCTATTAGAATAGACTAGAGGGGTACCCCGTTCGATGAACGGACTCAAAAGAATCGATCATCAAGTCATTGTGGGACGGTGCGAACTGCTTGTGACCGGAAGCCTACCTCGTTTACAATCGCGTCTTAGCCAAGATTAGATCTAAACGAAACTAATGAAAAACTGAAAATTAAACTACTGTGACTTCAGACTCCACACAAAAGCAACTCTCTGTAAGCGATCCGCAACATCTCAACTGTTGTAGGTGCCCAAAGAAGATTTGTTGATTTCCCGCAGAAGAGCAGCTTTCATATCATGGAAAACGAAATAGGTTTTGAACAACGCATTGAAATGACAAACGGGAAATTTGTAAAGGCCGATAGTGTTTTCTATTTTTCTAAATTTTTTAGGCGAATGCAAGCACTTACTGAAATGATAAAAACTTAGCTTGGTCTTTGAACTACCTTCAGTAATTTTTTCATGGTTCTACGTTCCGTAGTTTTTTCAGCTATAGAAAACAACCATCCACAGGTACACAATTATATAGATAACAATTTTGAGGGACATGAAAATGGAAATATAAAATTTTAAGATTTCAGATTTTAACCATTGTTGACTTAGTCAAGTCAAGTAAGTGACCATAACTGAAACCCTGTCCATCACGGGCACCTGCTTTAACAGTCACTTTTATTTGTGACCTTGAGTGACAATGTTGGACAGGTTTGACTGAATAAACAAAATAACTTGTCCTGTCTCCTGTTTCCTCTAGAATTCTTCTCGAACATATCCCTGCTAAATTTATAACATCCCAAGAATACATTTGGACGTAACCCTCGACATATATCAACAATTTGAACAGGGTCCAAAGTTTTTTTCATTATTTCCATTCAACTGCTTTTGTAAATCTGTGAACATCAACATTAAATTACCTTTCTAATGATTAACAGCCACTACAACGTTTACTACACCATCTGTGAAAGCTGTTTTACTTCCACACCCTCAAAATGAGTTGCGAGGTTACAAATCAATTTTATGTCCAAACAGTTTCAACTGCCAAAATTTTTTTTAAATTAGGCCCAAAATGAGTTTAACTGACGCTGCTGTACTTTCCATGGATCAGCAAAAGTCAGGCACTTTTTAAAGTTTGAGAGATGCATTTAGATAATTTACCCAACATAATTCGATTGTGTTGGGGGGGGGGGGAAATCTAACTGAAGTCCACCGAGTCCCTAGAAGTAATCCCCTTGAAACAGCCACAGCAGTAGTAGGGGACTCAAAAGAAATTCTGTGGGGCTAACAGTTTGAAACACTCAGGGTTCCTGCCATGAACTCCCCACCAAATTCAATTTGTACAATCGGTAAAGAAATTCATGCTGTTTTCAACGGCACTTCAAGAGCAATCCGACAATAATTTTGTTCATGTTCGATCCGGCGAAATTCAAGAAGTTTTCAAGGACTCCTTAAATTCAAGAAGGCCGCAGGAACCCTGATTTATGCAATAACTAAAGAATAGAGGGAACAGACTACAAATGGGCCATAATCTCACCTATTGTGTCCCTGTATGAGCTGTCGCATGAGGCCGGCATCAGACTCCACCTCCTGGAACTCGGCCAGTGATGGAGGAGGCCGTTTTGGTCTGTGAGATAAATCAGAAACATTACACTGAACATGAACAAAGCTGTGGTGAGGATTGGGACAAAGGGTACTTGTGACATTGATAACTGGCTCATAGACACATAGACAACAAAGGAAAACAAGACAAAAACCCTTTAATACTAGCATATTAACCCCCCCCCCCCCCCCCCAATCATAATTATTTCTTCGTAGCAGCGCATGCAATGAAATCGACAATATCAGAATAAACATCAATGGCCACGAAATATCAGCCCAAACTAAAATAAAAAAATTTAGGTGTAGTGCTCGATCAAGATATGTCAATGAAATCCCATGTATCCAATTTTTGTAAAAATCTATATCTCCCACTGAAGAAAATAGGGAGCATTAGAAAATATCTATCTGTTGGTGTCAACAAAACTTTAATAACATCACTTATATTGTCAAGGATTGATTATTGCAATTCCTTACTGGCTGGTGTACCTGATGAACAGTTACAACAACTGCAAAGAGTACAAAATATTGCTGCCAAAATAATGACTAAGAAACTAAAGCATGATCATGTGACTCCTTTTTTTAAAGAATTACACTGGCTCCCGGTGAAAGAGCGTATCATATATAAAATCTGTTTAACTTGCTACAAGTGCTTACATGATTTATCACCGGACTATCTAAAACAGTTTTTAACACCCTATGTGCCTCCTAGAACGCTCAGATCATCAAGTGACAAAACAACCCTTGTTAAGCCTAAAATAAATTACAAATCATATGGCCAACGCTCTTTTTCATATTTTGCCCCACTTGTTTGGAATAGGCTTCCAAAAACTATCAGAGAAGCAGAAAATCTAGAAATTTTTAAGAAGAAACTAAAAGCATTTCTATTTTCATCATATTTCGATTAGACAGAATCCATCCAAGCTGCAGATCGTTGTGAGTTTGTAGGTGCATATCGTTGCCATCATGCACCAACCCTGTAAGCGACAAAATGTTCAAAATCCACTGTTTTTGCTTATATGATTCTGTATAACATACAGTATGTCCCAGTCAAACAATATTTGACACAAGTGAAAAATAAGTACATTAAAACACAAATGAAAAAAACCCCTATCTCCAACTGCGTGAAAGCCGTCGGGCAAAAAACCTGTAAACACCAGCGAGGCACATAATTGCTTTGTGCCCGGCGGCCCAGCGCGATCAGGCGTCGCGCCGTGTCGCTTGTTGGGTAATATCAGTGGGCCTAACAATAGTGTCATGCCGGACAGTCCATCTTACGCAACCGTGCTGCTTGCGTTTGGCCCCTTTTTTGCATAGTGGGTCGAGAACAAAGAAGGTAGGCTACTTTTCGCTGGAAAGCCCAGAACATTGCCCAAGAAGAAAGAACGCATTAAGTACCAAAAAGGTGTTTCACAATTCAAGCAGAAGATCAACAAACAGTCAAATTAAAATGCCATGCCCCATTAAACATCGGAAGGTCTATGCCCATGTATGGAAAAAGCCTTCCTTCACGTCTTCTTAAGTACGAATAATGTTTTTCACACTTCCAACTGAACTGCAGCCTCTTTCCTTAACTACAACAAAGTAAATATTGATAAAATGCAAAGAGCAGCACATCAAACATGCCATACCGCATTAAATCTATATTCATATTTGGACATGGAAAACAGCCTTAATGCCCGCGCACACTAATCACAGGTTAACACCTAAACGTGTTAGAATTCCAAATTTTGTTCTCCCTCGTAACCAATAAATCGACACACTTTGCTCAATGTGGTGTTACATAATACTGGTTTGTATGACCATTAATAGTTTTGGAGACCAAATTCTTTTTTGTGTCTTGTAAATTTTATATTACTGTATTTGTTAAGCGAACGTGCATTTGTTTCATTCTTCACAAAACATATTTCTCTTCAGCAGGGGCCAATGTTTGGTCCAGTTGTCACTTTCGAGATCTGAAAAATGTGCTCATCGTCAAGACAAGAATTTCCCCCCCAAAATATTGCCATTTAATGAAGTATCAGAAAGTGCCATCGAAGACATAGTGGACAATGTTTTCTTGAACGATACCTCAGAATTAGATATTTCTATGTCATGCGTCAAATTTTTCACTGGATACTTGTTCAACACCACGCAGAAATTCGTCGGTGACCACATTTGACCAACATGAACCAACTTCAACCACTCTTGGAGAGCTTCAGGGGCGGGCTTCTTGTCCTGCCCTTTCAGTCCCAACGAGTTCTCTGGATGTTACGTTGCAGTCTGACGTCACTGTAGTTTCAGTTGATCATATTGCTGTCACAGCTGATGTTACTCCAGCTCCAGTTGTTGCCAGTATCAACACAACCGACATCCCCTCAGCATCATCTACCGACACAGTCGACGTTCCCTCAGCATCATCTACGGACACAGTCGAAATTCCCTCAGCATCATCTACCGACACAGTCGACGTTCCCTCAGCATCATCTACCGACACAGTCGACGTTCCCTCAGCATCATCTACCGACACAGTCGACGTTCCCTCAGCATCATCTACTGACACAGTCGAAATTCCCTCAGCATCATCTGTCGACACAATCGACGCTCCCTCAGCATCATCTACCGTCACAGTCGACGTTCCCTCAGCATCATCTACTGACACAGTCGACGTTCCCTCAGCATCATCTACCGACACAGTCGACGTTCCCTCAGCATCATCTACCGACACAGTCGACGTTCCCTCAGCATCATCTACCGACACAGTCGACGTTCCCTCAGCATCATCTACTGACACAGTCGAAATTCCCTCAGCATCATCTGTCGACACAGTCGACGTTCCCTCAGCATCATCTACCGACATAGTCGACGTTCCCTCAGCATCATCTACTGACACAGTCGACGCCCTTCTAGCATCAGACGCTGGCCCTGTGGACTCAGTCAACGACCTCCCGGTATCAGTTGCTAGCACGGGCAGCGGGGTGCTAACAATCTCCTGCCTACCCGAGCCACCTGCAGGAGCTGTCCCCGCAGATGAAGAATTCTCTACCCTGACTCAAAAACCAGGGAAAAAAGGTGTTGAAAATTGGCAGAGAAACAAACGGAAATTTCTCAGGGAGTCAGAGCAAAGCTATGTCTCTGCCAAGGGCGCCCAAAGACCAGCACGGAAGGTGGTGGACATTCGTTGTCTCAGGTATACGCCTGATCGGAACATATCCTTCAAGTTGACATTTGATGAGAACTGGAAGGATATTCCTCGGGGAAGAAGGCATGCAGAGGTAGCCGCTGAAAAACCAGGACCTCTTTACACAGAGACCTTGAAGATCACAGACGTGAAATTCAAACACCTCCAGGTACTAAAAGCCGTTATCCCTAAAGACCACCGTGCATTCTACGATAATCTTCGGCACTAAATATATTATGTATAATATGTGAATTTTAAATATTCATT